GAGCCGCAGGTGTGCGGGGCGGCGGGCCCCTCCGCGGGACACCCTCATCACGCTGTGCCCTTCGGGTGACCTTCAGTGTGGTCACTGCGCCTGTCCGGGCATGGGAAGCCTGAGCTACAGCCTCAGCAGGCTCCCTCTTCCTGTAGCGGAGGCGTCTTTCATCCCTCCAGCGGCCCCGCCCGGTCCAGCTGTGGCTGTAGTTCCTCAGGCCAGGCCCTTCTGCTCCACCTGGGACCTGCCGGTCGGGGAGGCCTTTCCTACATCCAGCACCCACCCTCTGCCGTAACCCTGAGGCCCCACACCGTGTGCACTACCGTAGGCTGTGCCCCAGAGCCAAGTCCAGCCCTGGGCTCCGCAAGGGCACCCTGCCATTGGCCTGGATGCAGGTCAGCCGCTGAAGGATGAGGGCACTAGAAGCCAGGAGGGTGGATGCCCATCAGGAGGCACAGGCTTGTGGCAGCCTGCCCTGCTTCTCTGCCTAGGGGTGATACCTCAGTTTTATCACCCCAGGGGCCTGGCCCTAATGCCCTTCTGCCCACTCCCGACCCTGAGCCAGGGTTCCAGCTCAGTTCCCACTCCTCCTCCACCAGGACCTTGGCCGGGCTGCAGCTGGGGTGGCTCAGCACCCCTGAGAAACAGCAGGGAGCCCAAGTTGGGTACATGTTTCGTCTCTGTACCACCGTGCCCACTTAACCCCACCTTCCTCTGACCACACGCTCCTGCAGTTCTCAGGAAATGGATGCAGTGGGCAGAACAAGTTTAGAGAGGAAGCAGAGGCCTCTGGCTGGTCCCATCCGGCCCCTCCCACCTGGGTTCTTCCACAGACCCTGCCTCTGTAGCTGCAGGGGCTGTTCTGGGAGTGGTCAGGGGCTGAGGAGGTGGGGCCTATGGGAGCTCCTAGAGAGGCCAGGGACAGGGAGGGTTTGCAAAGGGCTGGATGTGGGAGATGTGTGGGGGCCTCCTCCCTTGCCACATCCTCACTGGTGTCCCCCTCCAGGCCCATATGATGCCCAGGAGTGAGCTGTCCTGAGACACCTGCCTGTCTCAACACCTGCTCAGCTGCCAGCACCACCACCATGGAGTCCAGGGCAAAGTCGGCCAGCAGTCCGAAGCCAGACACTAAGGTGCCTCAGGCCCCTGCTGAGGCCAAGGCCTCTCCAGCTGCTGATGGAAAAGCCCCCTTGACCAAGACCGGGAAAAAGGAGACCCAAGCCGAGAAGCAGGAGCAGCCAGCAGCCCCTGCCTCTGGGAAGAAGGCCCCAGCCAAGGCTGACCCTGTCCTTCTCAACAACCACAGCAACCTGAAGCCAGCCCCCACAGCTCCTGTTGTCACTAGCAGTCCTGAGGCAACCCCAGAGCCCAAGGGCCCTGGGGATGGAGCGGAAGAGGATGAATCTACCACTAGGGGCCCAGGGGGCCAAGGTCCTTGGCCCTGTGAGAACTTCACACCCCTGCTGGTGGCTGGGGGTGTGGCTGTGGCAGCAGTGGCCCTAATTCTTGGTGTGGCCTTCTTGGCCCGGAAAAAATGATTCCTTGATGCTCAGTGTCGGGGGGCGGGGGTGCACAGAGCCACTTCCTGTACAGAACTGGGAGCTAGTGCATGCGAGTTTACAATACCTATCTATATCTACACACATACATCGTATCCTATACATATATGTACACCCCTTCCCCCATGTACACAGCGGGAGAGACTGACAGTGAGCCACCTCTGCTGACCCCAGCACAGTCCCCTCCAAGCTGTAGGACAGGAGCTTGGGCTCTGGGCTTACAGGGCAGAGCTTACCTGCAGGGTTAGGAAGGAAGGAACAGACCCTGTGTGTGGCTATCTGCCGGTCTCCAAAGGACCAGTGGTGGGATGGGCAGGCCCTGTGGGTCCCTAAAGGGTGTGGTAGCTCATGTCCCCTGTCCTGCTCTGGACCTGATGATGCGGGTATTGCCCTGAGGTGAGTGGCCCATCTGCAGAGCCGCCTCTACCCACTGCCTGTGCTGTGGCTGAGGGAAAAGACAGCTGGGTACTGGTCTTGGCAAGGGCTCCTGGAAGTTCTCCTTTTCCAGCTTGTGTCCCAGTGGAGACCCAGCGACTAGGAGCACACCACATTTCCCGGGGAATGCTGAAAGTCTGGCAGGGAGGCAGGGGTTCAAGGAGGATCTCCTCTCCCTGTTATGCCTGCCGACACTCCCAGCAGACCATCCCTCCTGCCTTCACACAGCATCCCCATCCAACAAGCGTATAAATGCAATAACAGGTAGAGTAGAACTGCTTGGTGAGTGGCCATCACCCACCGCCCACTGCCTGCAGGGAGACAGCGGCACAGCCCTCTTTCCCATGCCTGGCCCTGGCCTGCCCCTGGTATAGCGGCAGCAGGCAGGCTTCCCAAAGTCACAGTGGCCACTGTGGGAGTAATGACTACACTTGGTCAATATCACAGGAACCCTGGGCCTGGGAAGAGGCTGAGTCTGAAATAAACTCTGCTGTTTAAAGGCTGGGCTCGTGTCCTCACCTGTGTCTGCTGCGAGGGGCAGAAGCTTTCTGCTGGCGCCTGGGGACACACCTACACCTAGGCTTCACAGACTGCAGGCAGGAAGCCCTGGGTCCCTTGTGGATCTACCCACAGCCCCAGCGAGCTTTGCCCATCCCAGAGGCCCCTTCCCTGACCTTCCAGAAGGACACCAGGCCTGCAGGACAAACCTAGACCTGGGCTTGGCTACACAGCGTAGGGCACGAAGCTCCTCAGTCCTCTGGGAGCTCCATCCGAGGGGAACAGAGGAATCTACAGGAGGTCACTTCTCTTCCACAGCTCTCAGCCTGTTCTGGCCTAGCGTCCAATTTGGGGGATCAAGGCCATGCTGGGCCCAGGAATGCTCTTTGGGCTCCACCCCAGGAGTGTCAGGCTGGTGGGTGGGGCTCCCCCTCTTCCTCCCCTAGGCTACCTTCCAGCTGGTGGAAGGGGCACAGGGCTGTCTCCTTCCTGGCCCATTCATTCGGTACCTACCATGCCCAAAGCACATCCACACAGCCGCACCCCAGGGGCACACAGCTGCAGGCAGCTGCCATAGGGAGAAAACAGCAGGCTGAAGACCTCACCCGGGCCACCCTCACCGCCTTCTCAGGCCTGGGCTGCCCGACTTGGGCCTGTTCAAAGGGAGGGAGAGTTCTGTACCACACAGGTGCAGTGCTGTTCTGTGCCTGGTGGGCCTCTCACCCTGCCCACCCTCCAGACCTCTGTCCCATTCTATCTGGCCCATGGTCTGCACTTCAAAATAGACAGTTATAGTCTCAGCAATCTGGGAAGCTGAGGCAGAAGGATTTCACACTCAAGGCCATCCTAGAATATAGTGGGTCCCTGTCTCAAAAACCCAACAGACAAAGCAGTGTCAGATATTTCGGTGGAGCACCCCAAGCTGCAAGTCCAAGGGTGACCCTCCAACCTGCAACATTCCTCCCACACTGCTGCTTCCTTCATCGACTGTTAGAGGAGGAAGTAGATTAAAAATGCCGGCGCCAAAGGTACAAGATCCCAATAATGAATTAACTACTGTATACCTAAAATGTATCAATAAACTCAGTGAGAAGAAAAAGAAAAAAAATGCCCGCATCTCTGGGGTCAGGGATATATCTCAGCGGTGCCATGCCTGCCTGGCAAAGCACAAGGTCCTGAGTTCAATCCCTGCTACAAAAAAAAAAAAAAAAAAAAAAAAAAAAAAAAAAAAAAAAAAAAAAAAAAAAAAAAAAAAAAAAAAAAAGTCTGTACCTCCAGCCAAAGCAGGAATGAAAATGCTTGTGATGCTTGCTAAGTTGGATCTGGACTGTCCCCTAAGGCCTGTATGGTCCCCAGCGTGGCACTGTTTAGAGGTTATAGAATCTTTAAGGGAGGTCCTTGTGGGAGGTCCTCAGGTCACCAGGAGTGTTCTCACCCCTACCCAGGGATTTAATCCAGGGCCTCTGCACTGAGCAGCATTTCCAACTGTTTTCGTTAGCTGCTATTTTGAGACAGGGTCTCACTAAGTCCTCCAGGCTGGGTTTAAACTTAAAATCCTCCTGCCTTTGTCTCCCACAGTGCAGGGATTACAGATGTGGGTACTGTGCCCAGCTAGGGGCATGTGCCGAAAGGGTCTGTAGGACCCTAGCCCCTCCCGCCTTTCTTGCTTTTGGGATGAAGCGTGTGGTGGTTTTGCTCCCCCAAGGACACCTACTGTGACACTGCCCCACCCACTGCAGGCTCAAGCCCACAGACTCTGAAACCATGGCCCAAGATGAACCTTTTCTCTATGAACTATCATCCAGGCATGGTGGGGGCACACCTGTCACCCCAGCACTTGAGAGATTGAGGCAGGAGGATTGCTACAAGTTCAAGGCCAGCCTGAGCTACATAGAGTGTTCAAGTCCACCCAGACTGCACAGTGAGACCCTGTCTCAAAAACAAAAACAAACCAAAAAACAAATTATCTCTAAGCCCATTCACACTTTGTGCAGCCAGCATCACCATCCACCTCTAGGACTTTCCATCTCCCCAGTTCAAGGTCTGCCTCCAGCCCCTGGGACCCACCACCCTACTTCCTGTCTCCAGGGACCTCATGACTCAAGAGCACAATGTCCTCAAGCTTCACCCATGTAACATATCAGGTTTCTTTTGGGGGAGTGTGAGGGGGTACTGGGGATTGAACTCAGGACCTTGTGCTTGTGAAGCAGGCGGTGGAACCACTTAAGCTAGATCCCCAGCTTTTTTCAGGGAGTACTGGAGATTGAACCCAGGTCCTTCACACTGAGGTACATTCCTAGCCCTTTTTGTGTGTGTAGACAGGGTCTTGCTAAGTTTTGCACACTGGCCTCAAACCTGTGACCCTCTGGTCCTGGCCTCGCAGAGTTCTGCACCCGAAGAGTCATGATGTTTGAGCTGAGTAACAGACTGGATGGTCCACATTTTGTGTGTCCTCATATCTGTCCATGGACACCCAGGATGCTTCCATCTCTGGGCTCTTAAGGGTATACAACATTCCTGAGACTCTCCTTATTTCTGGGGTCTGCCCAGCATTACTGCCCCTCCACAGCAGGCATGCTGCACAGTGGCGGCCTGTGAGTACCCCAGATTCTGCCAATCCCAACGAGAACTCTGGCCTGTTTGGTTGGCTGTACTGAGCTGGCTCCTTTCATCATCCAGGTCTTTCTGTCAGTCATCCATGTCTTCCACTCCGAACCAGAGCTCATGCGTCCGCTGGCTGGAAAGCCTTCGCCTGATCTGAGGAATTTCTATGCATTACACATCTAAGGTTTTGCCACCCAGGACACTGCAAACTCTCAGTTCATAGCTTCTGGAGCAGAGGTTTCAATCCATCCCTGCACATCTGGAACGATTAGGAGACCATCCTGCCATGCTCCAGTCCAACAGCTGGTGTGGACTCACACTGGCCTAGTCCCCAGGCACTGAGGTTCCAGGTGCAGCTCACACTGTCTCCTTCCCCACAGGAGGCCTGATGGCCCCTGCCACCCCACACAGTGACACTGTATCCTCTAGCTCCTGCTTCTCAGCACATCTGTCATGTGGCACTGTCACTGTCACTGACTGGCCTTTTTATAACCATCTTGTCGCTCCATTTCTTTGTAATTTCCCACTTGGCTCAGCTCCTGGTGTCCCTGCCAGGGAAATGTCAGAACCTGGTGGCACACATCCCTGAGGCCCAGGTCTTCAAAGGTCCCCAAACTGGAGTAACATAAGGATTCTTCCAAATGAAAAAAAAAAAAAAATCCTCAGGAACATTAGGGCTGGTTAAATTATTTTTATTATAGAACAACTTTTAAGATATGAGCAAATACCAGACAGGAAAAATATTCAGTATTTAAAAAAGCACACATATGCTGTCAAATCTAACATAGAAAGACAGCATTATTTCAGGGACAAAGGCATCTGTGCCTTTGACACTGTTGGAGGGAGGCCCTGCCTCACTGTGAGGTCCAGGCTGTGCCCCCACCCTGCTGCCCTGTGCTCTGAGCCCCCAGCCCTTTGGTCCTCAGATTTTGCTTTTGGAGCACTAGTGCCAGGCTCTTAGGTCCACTCGTCTTCGTGTCGAGAGTCAGTGACACATCTGCAAGAAGCATGGCAGGGCTGGGCACATTGTTTTCCTCTCTAGCACGCCTTCCCACCTCCCAAGAGCATGCAGCTTCTCTCTGGGGACCCCCCGAGAATGTATTCTTGGTGTGACTACTGATTGTCTCATCACCCCACCCTCTGAGGTGTGGGTAGGAGAGGCCAGTGGAACTCTCAGGGCCCAGGTCCCAAGGCCCAAGAGAAGGCAGATGTGAACCTGCACCCAGCAGCTATGTCTCCAGACACCAAGTGCCAGGGAGGACACAGTGCTCCTGGGCCCCTGCACCTCAGTGGTCAGTCTGGTAACAATGGTGCAGAACAAGGGCTGCACTGCCCACTGCAGGCCACAAGGGCAGGGTACATGTCCCAGCAGGCATGTGCACCCCTTGACGGGAAGGCAACACTGATGTGGCCTTCCTGGAACTTGACTCTGATTGGCAGAGGCCAGTTGGACTTGGTCCCCATCACATTCCACCTCACGGGACGTGGACACTCACTGATAACTTCCTCTAGGTCCTTCTGATATCCTGAGCCTGTGACTGTTGCAGAATCCAAGAGACAGGAAAGACCAATGGGAAACAGGAGGACTTTACTCTAGATTTAGGTGAACACTGGCTCAATAGTTTTGTAATTTAGCCTTGAAAGAAGACAGAGCTTTGTGATCTTTTTTTTCCCAGTACTGGGACTCCAATCAGGACCTTGCACTTTGGAGGCAGGCACTAAATCATCAGCCCATCTTTGTGAATCTTGTGAGAATAAGATGACATAAACTTTGTTCATATGACACAGTTGCCAATTTTATCTGTATGAGAATAAGGAAGGAGTTATGGCTACAGGGTAGGAAGACAGTGATGCAGGGGGGATTGCCCAAGGCTGTGAAAAATTTGTTTTCCTTTAAGTCCGGTATCATTCCCTTTTCCTTTTGATGCTTCTGATAAGTGTTTTCGTTTTTTTTGGTACTGGTATCAAACTCGGGACCTTGCACTTGTGAGGCGGACATGGCACCGCTGAACTAAATCCCCAGCCCAATATGACAAGTTTTAATAGCACCATCATCATTATTATCAATTTTCTTGTCACAAGGGGCTGGCTCCCTGCTGAGCAGAGGTAGGTACTTGGTCAGAGCCATTAGTTGGGTGATAATGTGTGTTTATCAATGTCTCTATGGTTGACTGAATTTTTTGACAAGTAGGGATAAGAGAGAAGGGAGAATTATAACAAAGACGATAAGATACTTATGTTGTTGTTGTGACTCTACGTTGATTTTCAGTTTTTAGCTGTGCATGAACTGGCTAGCTTCCAGAGTGACCAAAGGAGGACTGTCATTTTCACGTCAGCCATGTGAAGACGAGTCACCTGCTGGAGTGATTAGAATAAGGCTGTCATTTCTGGTAGTGGTCCAGTCTCATCACAGGATCAGCTGGTTTGGGTCATCTGAATCCTGCTGGCTGGTCCACTTTTCTTGGGCTGTTGGCTTTAGCCAACTGTGGTAGATCTAAGACAGTTCTTGCAAGTTTAACAGCAGTGGGGTGGACAGGATTACAGTATGAGGCCTATCCCATGTGGGGCCCAGAGTTGTTGGAATTAATTTATTTATTTATTTATTTATTGGTACTGAGAATGGAACTCTGGTCCTTGCACTTGCAAGGCAGGCAGTGGCACCACTGAGCTAAATCCCTGGCCCTGAATTCTATTGTTTGATCGAAACAAAGTCCCTGGGCTTGAAGGAATATTTTGGGTCTATCAGACGTATGGACATTTTTTCTTGTACTCATTTATGGATGACTTGAATGGCTATTTTTAAAGGCTGTATTTTTTTTTAGGGTCAATTTTTCTGGATGATAAAGATTATCTTTAATTTGGTTTATAATTGGGGGGGCAGCTATCTTAGTTACTTTTCTTGTTGCTGAAACAAAATACCTGGCACCCAAAGTTAATCGAGGAAAGGTTTATTTGGCTTATATTGTAGAGGTTTCAGTCCATAATTGGTTGGCTCAATTTTGTTTTGTTTTTGTTTTTGAGACAGGGTCTCACTATGTAGTTGAGACTGACCTGGAACTCACTATGTAGCCCAGGCTGTTTTCGAACTCACAGTGATCCTCCTGCCTCAGCCTCCTGAGTGCTGGGATTACAGGCGTGCGCCACCACGCCCGGCTCTGTAACGAGGTTTTAACAGATCTTTTTGTCCCTTTTCTTATCCAGATTACCAGGATTAGGGCTGTGCCAAATCAATCTGTCATGTGCACTGGTTTAATAACCACATGCTCTTAATCCCAGCATCACACATTCTAGAGTGTGTCACCTCTGAAAAAGCCACCTACGACTGCATGGGAGGCTTTGGGGGACATCTAGACTCCAAGCATAACATTGGCTGAACAAGATCTCATACAGCATATACACAGCTTGGTGGGGATGTACTTGACTTGGAGGAGCACAGGCAG